GTCCAGCCATTTCACCTGTCACCAATATTGCTCACTAAACTGTGTCCCTAAGTACCATATCTACCTTCTTCTTGAAAACCTCCAGGGACTGTGACTTCACCACCACTCTTTCTGAGAAGTTTCTCCTGGTCTCCAACCTGAATCCCAACTCTGGTGCAACCTAAGGCCTCTCATCCTATTGACATTACCTGGGAGAAGAGGCTGACCCCCACCTCACCCCAGCCTCCTTTCTGGGAGTTGTAGAGAGCAATAAAGTCTCCCCTGGTCCTCTTCCAGACTGAACAATCCCAGTTCCCTCAGTCACTCCCCAGAGGATTTGTGCTCCAGACCCTTCACGGCTTCATTGCCCTTTTCTGGACACGTTCCAGGGCCTCGATGTCTTGTAGTGAGGAGCCCAAAACTGAGCGCAGTACTCAAGGTGCAGCCTCAGCAGCACTGAGTACAAAGGGATGATCACCTCCCTGCTTGTTCTGGCTGCACTATATCTGATACAAGCCAGGATGCCATTGGCCTTCTTGGCCACCTGAGCACACTGCTGGCTCATGTTCAGCCAGCTGCTGAGTAATACCCCCAGATCCTTTTTCTCCGTGCAACTTTCCAACCACTCTGCCCCAAGCCTGTAGTACTGCATGGGATTGAAGGTTACTGGGGAAAGCTCTGCAGTATGTCACCATTCCATAACGTGCACAAATGTCTTCCAGATACCCAGTTTTTCTGTCAACAAATAATTACACATGTGGATGTGGTGTTGTGAGAGTCCTTGCCGTTTGTTTTCTTTTTTCCATGCCTGATTTCTGAACAGTTGTGTTAGTGAAGCTGGGGCTGCACCATTGCCATGCAATCTGTTGCTGCCATCTTTGACAGTGACTCAAGCAAAACTGTTTCCAGCCATGAGCAAGGCTGTTTATTCCTGTCTTTGTCTTGCTAAACAGGTTCCTGTTAAAAAATAAAAATAAAAAAATTTCCACCTCTGGTGCTAATTGGTGCCTTTGGCAGACTGCGCAGGGGCTTGTGAATTGAATGTGTCATGGAAAATTGAATGTGTCAACTCTCTCCCAACAGTTGGGACCTCAAGATCTTTTTCTGGCACTAAATTTCCTTTGGGAAAATTAAAAAAAAAAAAGAAAAAAAAGAGAAAGCATACTGAGATAAGAGATCTTTTTCCTTTTTTCTAATGAGGTGTTGAAGTTGAGCATTATGGTGTATATAGCACTGTGTTTTATCAGCAGAAGAATTAAGAAGCAGGGCTGATGTCTGCCATTGTTTTTCAGACCCCCCATTTGCTTCTATTAGAAGCTGCCCGGCACTGGGTGGCAGCTTTTGCTGTCTATTCAAGCATCTGGCAGGGTAGCCACAGAGTTGTTGCCAATGTCCTTAAGGAACTGTAGGGATCTGCATGATTCATTCACTATCTTTTCTAGGTACAGAGCAAAGATCTTGTATGATGGAGTAAATACAGTTCCAGCCTAAGTATAACCAGCATTATTACAAAAGCAGAGATTTGCTGCTTTGGCAGCACTGGCTGTCAGCATGAGATCCTGTTCCTTCAGTCAAGAAGATTCTAGCTCACGTGGAGTTAAATCAGAGTTAAACTGAGCTGATTGAGAATAGTCAGAACCATGAGCACAAACCAATTCACCTTATAAGCTGTCCTAAGCAGGAGCAGAGGAGGTTATCACTGTCAGGTTTTGAGGTATGTGGATGGCAGAGAAGTTTAGCTAGAGTTCAAGCTGCTGTCATATTTGCTGGTGATGAAGCCACAATTATGTGTGCAGGGGCCTGCAGAGAGGAGGGTTGAGTTTGTTTTTTTTTCTTTTCTCTTAGGAAATATACTTTTCATTTTCCAGTGGTGCCACTGATTTGTCTTTGGCAATATCGCATTTTCTTAGGGAAAATGGAGAAAAGTCCTAGTTGTCCTTCAGCAGGGGCTAGCTACCAGTCGGACAGCACACATTAGCCCTGTTTTTTTACACAGCAGTCCTCCCTTCTGGTATTTCTGCAAAAACAGCTGAATTTGGTACTTTCTCCTATGGCACGTGATACTGAGCCTAGGGGATTTTACTCTTAAGGCATCTTCAAAGCTGTGTTGTCGGAGCTGCAATAGTGTGTGTACCTTGGCAGCAAGCGCCTCCTTAGGCTGAGCTGCAGCATTTCCTTTGGGATTGTGTGCAGGTTCACTTTTCATGTTCTAGGTTTTCATATTTACTTTTTTCATTAATCCACCTCGACCTTATTGTCAGAAAGCTTCAGAATCGAGTGTCCACAATTCATGTCCATGCTCTCCCCGAAGCATGGCAAACAGTCTGTTGTTTTGTTGTGGCTGTGTAATGTGATACAAGCAAAATGAGCACAGGTAGCAATTTTATCCATCTGCATTTTCAGATGTGTCAATCTGTGAGCTTAGAGGCACCATCTTTGTCACAGGCTGATGATCTGATGGAAACATCTGAGTGTTTCCCACTGCGCTGCTGTTTGTTCCCAGTCTTCATTCAGAGACATTTTTCTGTACTGCATTATTACTTCCCAAAACTAATTAGAAGGGTATTTCACCAGGTATTCATCTTTCAACCACAGTTCTTTCACGTAGTGCCAAGAACGATAAACCCAAAGATTTCAAATTTCTCATCAGGATAAACCCAGAGAGCTCAAAGCCAAAATGAAACTCTTTAGACCCATGGTAAGGACACTGCAATTCCAAGATCATGTCTACTACTTGATATTATTTTCCTTGAAATCCTCTCTTCTGATTAAAAAGCTTTCTATTAAACAGCTAATAAACCAAATGGAGAGACAATAGTAGAAGACAGAGACTTTGGAGCTGGTTGGCAGCACAGAAATACATGGTGCTCTTTTGTCAGAGTTGTGCAGTTAAATGCCACAAACTCTGATTTGTTTCACATTTTGACTTTGGTGTCAAACGATTAAAATTTGCCGAGTTTACGAGTGGAATAGAAGATTAAGAAGTACTCTAAGAAAGCATAAACCCTGCAGGCTGTGTCTGTCTGTAATAGTCATCCCTGCCAAACAGTGATCACAGAAATAATTATCAAGCCTTCTCTTTCCTGAACTGTGAACTTTTAAAGAAACTATTGGTATTACAGGAAGTGTTTCTCCCAGCTGTGTTAAGTCAGCATTACCTGCCTGTCCATGTATTATACTGCTTGCAAGCGCTTTTCTGTTAGGGATAAACTCACTGCATTCCAGCTGGGAATACATTATTACCTTTGCTTGTTATGGAGGTAATGGTCGTCGCTGGCCCAGCTGCAAAGCCAGAGGGAGCATTCACAGTGCAATACACAGCTTGAGCCAAGCAAGAGGCAGCAGAGGGGGAAATTTGGATTCAGTTTTTCCTTCCGAGGTGCAGGGTGAGCCTCCTCCACACAGCCAGATATCTGCTAGCTGTGTTCTCCTGCACGCACATACTCCTTGGTGCCTTTTGCTGTTATGGCAGTGTTTAGAGGCTGAAAAAAAGCTGGTATAACAGGAGTGACACGGTATTTCACGTTGGTAAGCACCAGGGAGTCGGTGAAAGCAAAGGAGAAAGTATTGCTCCTGTGTTATTATCTGAGGGAGCAGGAAGGCTGGTGATGAGGCTAGAGAACTGCACTTTCTGTTTGGTTGTGGCATTTCCCTGGGGTTGTAATACATCTCTGTCAGTGATTAATGCAGTAGGATTGTTTGCTGGTTCATCAGTAAAATTGGCATCATTCTTTTGATATGAAGTAGGTTTTTATTTCAACAGCCACTCCTGCCTCCCAGCAGGTTTTCTCTGTCCCAGCACCAGTTGGGTCACTTGCTGCAGAGCTCCAAAGAATTTGAGACTCACTTCTTAGCGTAGAGACTGCTCACATCCACGGGAGAAGGGCTACACACAGCCCCAACCTGTTTCCCTTACAGACAGAGTTGCAGCGGAGTGGGTGCTAAGTGGGAATTTTCCTTGTATTATTCACTGAAGCACACCAGAGATGATCTCAGGCTGGTTTCGCTCCTACTGGAAGTCAGTTGAAGTCACAAACTGCGTCATTGTGCCCTGCACCCCGCCTGCAGTGTGGGTGCAAGGTCCTTCTGCAGGAAGCCCTCCATGCCCCGTGCACACCTAGAAGTACATGCAGGGCCTTTTGATTGTGGCAGATCAGCTCCCGGTGTTTGTTTCAATCCCACACATCCAAAGGAGGGTCACAAAGATGGGGAAGGAGTGGAGGGCAAGGTGTGTGAGGAGCAGCTGAGGTCCCTGGGTTTGCTCAGCCCAGAGCAGAGGAGCTGAGGGGAGGCCTGATGGCGGCTGCGGCTCCTCACAGGGAGCGGAGGGCAGCGCTGAGCTCTGCTCTGTGTGACAGCGACAGGGCCCAGGGAACGGCATGGAGCTGTGCCAGGGGAGGGGCAGGGGGTGTTAGGGAAAGGGTCTGCACCTCAGGGTGGTGGGCATGGAACAGCCTGCCCAGGGCAGTGGGCACGGCACTGAGCTGCTCGAATTCAAGGGGTGTTTGGACAACGCTCTCAGACACGGGGTTTGGATTTGTGGTGTTCCTGTGTGGAGCCGGGAATTGGACTTCATGATTCTTAGCTCCTCACTTATAGGTAAGGCAAGCCCTCTAAATAAGGTCCTGCCTTAACCTGATTTTCTGCTTGGGATGTAACAACGAATGCCCGCTGTTTTGAGTTTGCCTTGTTGCTCATATTCAAAGCATAATGGGGAGCCTACAGAAAAATATAACCTTATTTACACGGTACAAAGCCAATTGGATTTTAGTTAACTTAATTTCTAAGTGATTACAGTTCACTAACAATGTAGGTGTGCTATAGATGCAATGCACAGGGGGTGAATTTTTATTTTAAACCATACAGGCTTTCTTTTATTCATGTCATTCAGGCAGCCTCGTGATAATTCACATTTCCAGCTTTCATAATGTGTTGTTCAAGCACTGTTTTTTCTGCCTCCCTGTTGTACTCTCACAAATCATACTCACTAATTTCTGAAAGCTTTTCATTTCTCTCTATAGGTTGTTGTTTCGTAACATTTTATACAAGAAAAGCTGCTCTTGAGGCACAGAATGCACTGCACAATATTAAAACTTTACCTGGGGTGAGTACATTTACTTTTTGATCCTAATTATTTTGTTGCCAGAAAATAGCCCTTTTGCTTGAGATGCTGATTAAGTGCCCCACATGACCTTGGTCTCTTCAAGAGAGGGTGGCAAACCTGATGTCCTGTCCTGTAACAGTGCCAGTCCTGTAGCAATGGCATTATCTCTAAAGACAGTTGCTCTTCTGTAGAAAGTCCCTTGGCTGGAAACAGTGCTGATTCCTGCTGACTGGAGGCAGTTACTGAAGTGCAAGGTAGATCCAATTTTTTTTTTTTTTACAGGAGAAGGAGGGGGAGAAACATATGGCAGAAAAACACTGCTCCACTGAGGTTTCTAGTTCCAAAAGGGAGAGAGGAAAAGAGAAAATACAGCCAACTTCATTAAATGCAGCCATTGTACACATGGTTTCTAAACAACCAAGTGCATTAGTGTGGTGACTGCACATTAGGGAGCCACATAGCATAGTACCATGTTGCTGCTTGAACAGAACCATTCCTGCCACCATCTCTACTCAGCACCCTTTTCGTGCTGATACACTGCACTGGTGGTTAAAGCAGTTGTGCTTGTGTTACTGAGCTAATCGTACAACCTGTATCGTATGTTATCCCATGGTAGTTCAGGTCTGAGTTATAGGTTTGAAGAGAAGAATATCACTGGTAATTGCATGACTTTAATCTAAAGTCTTCTTGTTCTATGGTTTTTATTTGTTCTGCAGTTTGCAAACAAATACTTCTGGGACCAGAATGGAAAAATAAAAGGAGTGGGGATATATTCCCCCCTTGATGCTTGGCACTGTATAAATAAATGGAATATTGTTTGGACTGGCAGTTATGATTGATGGTTATGGACTGGTGTCCAATATCTTTTTGAGTTCCTAGACGCCATATGTGAAATCAGACAGTATGTGTTTGAAAAGTTCATGTCTGGCTGGCCCAGTTTATACAGGTCCTGTTAGAAAAGTCACCTCATTTGTCATGAAAGTGACCAACATGGAGATGTTGGATAGTTACCCGTGAGCCATGCTGATTCACAGAGGTAGAATGGAATTCTTCCATCATTTGAAAATGGAAATGGAAGGAGTGGGAGGAAATCTGCAATGACCAGCTAGCTACAGAAAAATCAATGAAAAATTGTGCCACTTCAGATTTCAGTAAATTTTTCTAGGGTTGATGTCAACTCTTATAGTGGCAGGTTCAGCTTTCGAGGATGTACAGAATGATTGGCCATCACTGGACAGAAAGGAAGGTGTTGAGGGACCTCTGGAGCTCCAGCCACATCACAGCATCCATTGGCTCTGCAGCTGCAGTTGTTGGTTCCCATCCCCACTGCCAGAACATGATGAGCCCTTGGATGAATGCTCTGTAACCCAATTCAGCTAATGTTGCAGTTAACCCAGCTCATTGTGTAACTGCTCTCCATCATGCTTCCAGTTAAGCAGTTGTGCTGAATGGGATGGACACAACAATGAAGGTGGTCCTGAGCTGCTGCAGCATCTCTGGGTGTGTGAGCCCTACCCTGAAGCCCCGTAGTCGATCTGTACATCACTCTCCTCTGAAGCAAGGAAACTCCTTTTGCTTGCACCTCTCTTCTCCCTGAGCCCAAGAGTTGGCTGCTCTGCTCTGAAAGGTCTTGGTTAAACCAGCAGGTGACTCAGAGGGGTAGCCTCTTTTCCTGACCTCCCCATGTACAAGTAGCAAAACAGGCTCAACTTTGCAGAGCTTCTTACTTCAGCAGGGCAGCATTTTCTCCTCTTTATAGCTAAGGAACATGACACAGTTAAAGAGGCCGCTGCACCTATTTTTTTTATTATTTTTTATTTTTTTTAATAAAGATCAAAACTATAATATTTTTTCCAATGCTGACTCTAGTTCTTGGTCTTTTAAAATGTATCTTTTTCAAGCTCTGTTTTTCCATCTTGAATGTGAAGTTACCAACTTTTCTTCTAAAAAAATGTGAAAATTACATTCCCATGACTCCAGGGCCTGAGATGATCTGATCCTGATGCTGCCTGAGATCTTAAGATTTTATTTTGAGAGGAGTCGTTGCACCTAATTCTTAAAGGCACATCTCTAATAAAGAGAAAAACTCAAACAGCTCATTACACTAAAGAAAATTAACCATATATTATATAACAGATTCTATATTTTGAATGTGCTGTAGGCTGACATTCAACATAAATTGCAATATTGTTATGATTCAGCAGTATATTCCCAAAATAACCTTGTTTATGCACAGTATAAAGTTGTGGCATACGTGCTGAAGCACTTCACTAGAGCAGGATTCTCCTTCTATGAATTTTAGCAACTTCCATGCTGTTAGATCTGGCCCACTAAGCAGCTTTCCGTGAGCTAGCAGGGATTGGTAGTGGATAGCCTGTGTGTGAAACAGTCTCTTTCAGAGCAAATGGAAGCAATCATCTGTCAAGGCTACAAGGGATGAATTTGGATCAGGTTCATTTGGGCATCAGCTTGCTTCCAGTAAACAAGATGTGCTGTGTAGAAGCTTCAGAAAGGAGGTGTATTTGGAAACAAAACAATCTGTGCCTTCCACTTGTGCTGAAATACAGCCATGCATCAGATAAGAAGCATCTCTAAACAACCCAGGAGAAAAACAGAGTAACAGGCAGGTGGTTTGTTAGTTTCAGATATGGAATTATGGCAGACACAGAGGCAGGGTTGCAGCAGCTTGCCTGCATTTCACGTGTGCATAGGTATCACTCATCCTGCTGCAAAACTGCGTGCACTGAACGATTGTGAGTGCGATGTTTCTGGTTTGTCTCTTCATTTCTGAAATGCAGACTTGTTCCATGTTGCTCAGTAAGTCAGTTTTGGATGAGCACTTACAAAGCCAAAAAAGCATTTTTGTAGCATGATATCTATCCCGTTCTGTTTAGTTTGGGTAGGTATTTGAGCCATGCTCTGTTTCTGTATCTTTCTGCGTGGACCTCATCCTTAACAGAGACATGAAAACACGAAGGCTTTATCTGCTCCTCTGAACTGCACCCTTTTAGTGGACATGAAGAAAACAAGACCAGACATAAATGATTAATGCAGAATCTTGGAAGAAAATATTGCAGGGTGCCTTGCTGTTTGATTACAAGCCTTGGAATTAGTCAACATTTCCATAATTCTAAACCAATATACACCTGTTTTCCCACTGTGATGTGAAGGCACAACTTAATTTAACAGAAACCCTGCTGTGCTAAATCTCTCATTAAATACCAAGCTAGTTCTGTAATTTAAAGTTGTAGCACCACTATTTTAACAGAATTGCCTTTGTATTATGAAATTAATAAGAAGTTAATGATGCACTTTGCTGTGTTCTCTCAGCTTTTTTTTCACAGCAACAACAACAAAAAAGAAAGATAAAGAGGAAAAATATGTCACCAGCTGACATCTCAAGGCTTTTCTTGTTTTAATCATTTTCCTGAGGATAAAATTCATTTAAAGTATTTTTTAAAAATTTTTTAAAACTTTTGGCATAAGTAGGATCAAACATCTTCTTTTTACTCATGATTATTATAATCTCTCTGTTAGACATAATATTCCTTGTCACATAATGGAACTTTTATCTTTTCCCAACTATGCATTTAGATATCACTTGTCAGAGTAACATTGCTACTAGGCAGAGAAAAAGATACACAGCATTGGAAAAATACAGGCATATTGATATATATGATACATATCAATGAAATAAGGACAATTCTCTTCTGTTTACTTGGCATCACAAGTAGTTTTTATGTCTTGTAAATGAGCAAAATGAATTTCTAGATATTGCTTTTCAAGTATAGCATGCAAGCGCATAGCTCATACCCTGGCTCCATAGAGATGCAGTTGGCATTATTCAAGTTACAGTCAGGTTCTTCCTGCATGAATGTATGGATTCTATTCTAAAAGGCAGAGGAGAAAAAAGGGAAAACCTCAATTTGAATGCAGTAATTGAGATGAGATGTGGAACCAAGGTCTTAACTAGTCTCGTCTTCATTAAGAATCTCTTGGCTTTCCTAGAGATACTTAGCTTCTATTCCCTAAACAAAATAATCCAGTGAATTCCTCCCGTCTGAATTTATTTGGTACCTTTACTTAGAAGTAATAATCACAGTCCCCCCACGTTTAAGCACACTAATATGCTGCTTTGTGAAAATTGGCTTTTATGCAGAGGCTGTATGCAGAGACTGCTCTCAGCCACGTTGGTGGCACTGGCATTTTTTTAGTTTAGTTTTAACATGCATGCCAGTTTAAGAACAGAATCTACTCTATCTGGCTAACTAGTTCATTGAGTAGGATTTCCTGGCAAGAGATAACTGCAGGTGGGTAATAAGGACTGGTTTGGGTTCTTGAAACCCAGCAGCTGAATAAATGAACCTTCTCATGCAGAAGCTATTTGACATCAAGAATCAATTGGAATCCTTTGGTAAAATCCTTTGGTAAAATCTAGTCCTAAGTCTCTTCATAGTTGTTTTGCATTTAGAATTAGATTCACCTGACATGACACGGATCATTTGTTGCCTCATACCTTTGCTTATATCCTCATAGGAGAGGTTATCACAAAAATAATTAACAGCCTGCACTGATTAAGGTGTCAACACTCCTATGCATTTAACAGACTAATGGTTTACGTGGTTCTTATTTCAAGTGGGTAGACATATTCCAAGTAGCAGCAAGCCCATTGTATTGAAGTTCTAGCCGAGAATAGGGACATTAACTGCATCAATTTAATTAAGAGTGTAACAACAGAGAAATATAGTGTTGAGAAAGCTCTTCAAATTTTAACAGCAAGGTGGAATTTGTAGGATATAACTGTCTTGTAAAATATTAATGGCCCCCTTTTTGCCAGATGTTGTCAAGGAAAAGATTTTCATTTTTAACAGCGTAAGAATCACTACTGGCTTTATGAAATGTACTTTATGTGACAGGGAAATAGGACTGCCTTAGAGAAAGCTGTTCCTAAGTGTTCTTAGAACCATAGAATGGCTTTGGTTGGAAGGGACCTTCAAGTC